GCTGCATCTTGCTCTGCAGCATAAATGGTCAGCGGCACCCTTCAATGGTGCCCCTAAAGCTGTCTCACTGTTGTGGATATGAACTCATCCTATCATTGTGTTTATTATGACCCCAGAAGACCAACCACCATTTCCATAAGAAGACTGTTACTGCATTTTAATGCCTTCTCTGCATGACATTAGGAACCAAACATGTCACCTATACCAGTCTTTCCACCATAGTGATCCATTGTAAAAATCTTCTATAATACCCCTCCCTGCAAAAGAAAAAAAAGTACAGGAGGAAAAATGCCAATTTGTCAGGGCAAATTAAAGGAAAAGTAACATACAGAACTTAATAAGGTAACTTAGAGCCATATGTCATGGAAGACTTAATTTTATCTGCACAAATACTACTTCATTTGGTAGACACTGGAAAGCCATGAGAAGTTTGTTAGAGAAATGATATGATCAGGAACTAGCAGCACATTGTAGGACAAACTGGAGAAGAGTGTGACAATGATAGAAGATAAAAGGCCATTGCATTAGTTGTGACAACAGCCTAAACTAGGTAGCAGTAATATGAATTAAAAAAGGGTGTAGGAGGTGTAAGCAAAAGATAACAAAGGGGAGAAGGGATTGGCACTTATCTGCATATGGGCAGGGGGCCTATTCAGGGTAGTATTAAGATGACTCAGGGGTTTTAAGCCTGGCTACCTGAAAGAATGGTAGAGTAAGAAGAAAAGACTAGGTTTGGGGGATGAAGCAAAGCTGAGAACAGAGATGATGAGCTTTAAAAGTGATACAGTAGGGGCCCGGGCGTGGTGGCTCATGCCTGTAATCCTAGCACTCTTGGGAGGCCAAGGCGGGTGGATCCCTCACGGTCAGGAGTTCGAGACCAGCCTGAGCAAGAGCAAGACTCCATCTCTACTAAAAAATAGAAAGAAATGATCTGGACAACTAAAAATTATATATAGAAAAAATTAGCCGGGCATGGTGGCTCATGCCTGTTAGTCCCAGCTACTCGGGAGGCTGAAGCAGGAGGATCGCTTGAGCCCAGGAGTTTGAGGTTGCTGTGAGCTAGGATGACGCCACGGCACTCTAGCCCGGACAACATAGTGAGATTCTGTCTCAAAAAAAGAAATAAAAATAAAAAAAATAAAAGTGATACAGTAAGTTTGAAATGCCTAGGAAGTAACTGGAAAAGCAGATCCTCAATAAGACTAGTCAACCCCTGTCCTCAGGGAATTTAAAATCTGGAATCTGGTTATAACTAGAGATTTAAATTTAGTAGTGATTCTACCAGGTATTCCCTAGTAGCTGGGGGAACAGACAAACCCTCCCAAGAAGAGAAGACCAAAAGAAACCCCATCAATTTAAGAACAGAATTTAAAAATATTCCAAATACTAAAAACCATTTGAAATGTCAACATCAAGTGCTAAAAACATATTAACAACTTAAAATAGTGGCTTTTAAAAAAGACATACCTTGATACATTTACATACATTTCTAGAAAAAGACAGTTTCTCCGCACGCCTGTAATCCTAGCACTCTGAGAGGCCGAGGTGGGAGGGTTGCTTGAGCTCAGGAGTTTGAGACCAGCCTGAGTAAGAGCGAGAACTCATCTCTACTAAAAATAGAAAGAAATTGGCCAAACAACTAAAAATAGAAAAAATTAGCCAGGCATGGTGGCACACGCCTGTAGTCCCAGCTACCTGGGAGGCTGAGGCAGGAGGATCACTTGAGTCCAGGAGTTTGACGTTTGTTGTGAGCTAGGTTGACGCCACAGCACTCTAGCCCAGGTAAGAGAGTGAGACTCCATCTCAAAAAAAAAAAAAAAAAGATAGTTTCTCAATCATATGCCATATCATATTAAAACACACAAATTAACTTGCCCTTCCTATTCAAACTGTACTCCTTATAGAAGTAATTTAACTAATAAATTAAGAAGGAATAGTAGAATTAAAGGCATAGTTAAATTATTTCCATCTGCAAACCAGTAGTGAAATAATGGAAATAGGTTGTTAACATAGCAGAAAGAGGGACAAATATCATATGCCTCCTTAAAGAAGTACACACTACTACCTGCCTGCCTGCCACTCCTGCACTCTCAGTCAGAAATCAAACCTGCTCGAAGTCTTCAATCTAGCTACTAATATACAGGAAAAACAAGGAATAGAGGGACATATTAAACTAGGACATGTTAAAACTATACCAAAGGGACATATTTGTCAAAGTTCAGAATGAGAGAAACTGTAGGAAAAATGACCTGATTCCTTCAATAAATTATGAGGAAAATGAAAGGGGGACCCTCTAGATTAGAAGAGACATCCAACCAAATGTATGTAATGTGTGACCTTGTTTAGATCCCAAATCAAACCAACCAGTTATTTAAAAATAACTTAAGAAAATTTGAATATTGGCTGGATATTTGGTGATGTTAATTTCTAAAGGTGGGATATGGTATTGTGGTTATGATTTTCTTGAGAGTCATCTTTCAGAGATATATACTGAAATATTTACAAATGAAATAATTATATATAGGATTTGCTTCACAATAATCCAGTAGGCACTGAAGAAAGTAGGTGGTGGTAGAGATGAAATATGTGGCTCAACTGTTTGTGTTTTGAAATTTTCCATACTACATTGTTTAGAAGGAAACCAATTAAGAACAAACACCACTCTCAGTGTCACCAACAAATACAGAGGACAGGAATGAATTTGAATTTTGTCTCTAAGTCTTACAAACTGAGCAGCCCTGGTCTAGTCACACAACCTCTTAGTGTCCCCTTTGATTAAATGGAGACACATACCACCTAATAAATTCACATTTGCTAGAGCTAGAAATCTGGGTGATATCCTTAACTCCTCTGGCTTCCCCAGTCTCCATCTGGTTCCCCACCAAATCCTGCCTGTTTCTCTTTCTCCTCCATCTTCTCACCGCTGTCCATCTTGTCCATCATTGTGGTCTCACACCACTCCAACAGCCTCCCTTTAACCTGTCCTCCACACTGTATCCAGAGTGATGTTCCTAAAATGCAAACTCTGATCAGGCTATTCCCAGCCCCCCTGAAAATCCTTAAACCGATTTCAGTAAGCTTCAAGAGTGTTCCTTTAAAATTTTTTTATTTTCTTCCCCGATTCCTTAAAATGACTTACAGGGCTCTCCATTTTCTGTCTATTTTTTGAATTTCCATCTCTTCCCATTCTCTCTGATCCCTTTACGCTTTAGCTTTGGTGAAATTCTTTCAGCTCTTGCACTGCACCCTGTACTCTGACTACAGTTTCAGTACTCAGATCTGGAATGCTCTTTCCACCCCATCACTCCCTTGACTAGCTAGCTCCTACCCATCCTTCAAGTCTCAGGTTAAATAGCACTTCCTCAGAGAGGTCTACCCAGATTACTTCTATACTAATTTGGATGTCGTCTCAGACCTACACAATATTTGTTCCTACAGGAACCTATACTTACTCTATCATAACACTTCATACTTGTTTATAAAGGGTACTTGCTGTGGTACTTATATATTTATCTGTTTTCCAGCTAGACTATAAACTCTGAGAAGGCAAGTCCTAGAATTTGTTCACTGCTGAATCTTAAGTCTCTCATAGTGCCAGGAAGCCAATAAAAAATTGCTGAATATATAAAATTCACAACTTTCTGGACTAGTTTCTTCATAGACAAGTTCCATCTTCCTAGTCCTCATCTGCAACAAAAACAGACAGCCATGAAGGCCATCTATACGGAAATCTGAATCCTGCATAATAGGAATGCACATTATGAAGTGAATTGAAAACACGATGGGAATGAGGGACAGACGTAAGAAGTTGAGAAAAGTTATTACTCTAAAATTTATTTTCATTACAGATTAATTGAACCTTTGGTAAAAAGAAAAAAAATTAAAAATTAAAAATCTATTTTGAGACTGAGATAATTTGTATCCATATTTACCATCTTAGAAAAAATTCAGGAGTGCCAATCTTACAAAAATGGGAGTCAAATAACACACATAGTTCCCACCCAATCATTAACAAGTTGTCAGACCTAAAATGGTAGGTCTCTTAACCTCTCCAGCCTCAGTTTCCTTATCTGTAAAATAAAGGAACCTGACCAGCTGGTCATTACATTCTTTCCAGAGCTAATATTATATGTTTTAATATTTAAAAGGCCAAAAGACAGGCAAACTATTGAAACACTAACCAGTTAGTTTCATCCTATGGTGGTATGCTCCTTTTCTCCTTGTTAATCTGTTTAGGGATGTTACAGCCTATATTATGTTAAGCTTCCAACTAAATCTTTAAATCTATTCAGCTATAAATATCTCATAAAATGCTCCTCAGATCATAAACTTGTACATTCAACAAGGGTCACTGTAATCTGATGAAACAACAGCATCTATCTAAACCCAGAATGAATTACTAAAATATATTCAATTTTTGCTTAAATAAAAATCTAACCACTACATGTTTTAAGTGCTAGATGTCTTGAATTCTTGATCATTTCTATGGCAATCTAAAAGCAAAGTTGTACCCCAGGGTATAGGACTTGGATTTATGGATATTATTTAACACCTAATTAAAAAACTGAAGATACATAGTTTTTGCTTCACCTCGCTGGGCTGGTAGCTGAGATCAAAAATTGTTTATTAATGGCTTAATTCCTCTCATACTCTTCCAAACTCTCACACAACTCACACAAAATTCCAGTAGTTACTAATCCCACACTTATTTTATCGGGGAACTGATGTGTACACATTTTATCTCAAAACCAGAATAATTTTTGAAAAAAAATTTCAAAACTAGTTATAGTAAATAAAGTAGCTTGTAAACATTTTACTGTTATCAGCAGAAACCCAGTTTACGATCACCCAATGGAAACCCGGGGAAAGACTAAAGTAGTAACAAGTTTGTTTCCTGGTTTAGATTAATTACAGACTAATTTTGGCAACTGCTTGTTGCACCAAATATATCCTGACAAAGAAATGAAATGTTAAAATGCACGCGGGGAAAAAAGATGTACTTGGAAAAAAAAGTGTGCATCTGACCAGTGTAACGCTATCCTTCAGATTCCTCTCAACAGGGCCGCCTTAAGTCCAGGAGCAGGAGGGCACAGCGGCGGACATTCGGCAGCCACAGGTTGAATGACTAAGAGCCTCCGTCAGCACCGGTCCCAGGAGTCTGCGGCTGCCCCATTCCCTCCGCAGAGTCCATTTGAACCCTGCAGTCACGCCTTGGCTGTGGGGAATGCAGCTTCCCTTATCACTCTCGAAAGTCACCAGGTGGGACAAGGATCTGCGGGCCGAGAAGGCTGGGGCGGATACGCCACGAATCCAAAATAACTCCCGCCCGGAGTCCCTTCCCTTGGAGCAGAAAGCGGCCAGGAGAGTCTGGAGGTACCACGTGAAGCAGCCCCACGTCGTCCCTATTCAAGTTCAAAGCATCTCTGGTGGAGCCTACTTAAGACTAGAGGGGAAGCGACATCCCCAAGGTCACTGGGCACCACGACCCAACTCCTCGGCTGTTCCAGTGGCCGGCACCTGATCACGGGGCCCGCCGCTAGCCCAGAAGAAGCGCTGTCCCCGGCGCCTCAAGGTCCCCTTCAACAACGCTGCGCGCTGGGGCCACGCGGCTGCCCGTGGCCACGATGTCCTCGGCCGGGCCGCCTCCCTTCCTCCAGAGAAGTCTCCCCATTCCCGAAGTCTCTCTACCCCACCAGGGCGGAGAGGGCACCGCGGGGTCCACGCCGAACCCCGCCGGCTGCTACCCAACTTACCGTTATGTGCGCGGTTCGCGGCGCCGAGCGTGTGCGTGACGCTGCGGAGCGGGCTGGAGTTCCGCGGGGCCCAGGGTCTGGCTCGCGTCCTTCGCCCGCTGCCTTGTTCGCGCGTCCGAGCACCCACGCGGCCGGTTAGTCACGTCGCAGCTCGCCACTTTGTCTGGCCCGGCCGGCGCTGCTGCCTTATAACCCGCCGAGGCCGGAGCATGCGCACAGGGGGCGGAGCCGGCCCTCCCGGCCGCCGGCCCCTCCCCGCCATACATACACCCGAACTGCAACTCGCGCCTCCACAAGCTCCCAGCCGCGCGCGCCCGTTCGCTCGCTTTCCCGTGCGCGCCGACGCCCCCTCCCCGCCACGTGACCGGCAGCCCCGCCAGACCCGCGCGCCGCGCCCCTGCTATGCGACTCAGAGCCGCCACGCTCCTCCAGGCGGGCTTCTCCGCCCCTGTCGGAGGAGCTCGCGGCGACCTGCATGCGTCCCGGCACAAACGTCGGGCTCGCCCCCCAGTTTCTGACTGAAAAAAAGAAAAAGCCGCCAGGAGGCCTGACCCTGAGGTGTGGGGGGCGAGGGGCGCGCCGAGGAGCCGGGAAGCGACTGGAGAGGAGGGACCGGGCAGCGTTTGAATGGAGACGGGGCCGCTCGGACCCGGGAAGGCGCCCGGCGGCCGGCGCCTCGGAGCCCGGGCTGTGGACGCGGATGTGTTTGGATTCCGGTCCCGGCCTGACGCTTCGGTTCTCCGACCTCGGGGAAGTTACTCAAACCCTCTGGGCCTGTCTCATCTCTAGCGTGGCAACAGTCATAGACCCGGTTTCACAGGCCATTGGGAGGTTTCGAGGAGAGACTGTGGAACTTTCTCCCCACAGAGCCCGGCTGTGGCACTGATGAATGGTGGGGGTCACAGACTGGTCGGGAAGGAAGAGCAGGTAAGAGGGCGGGGAGACGGGCCCGCGGGGGGAGGGTGTGCGCGTCGGAAACGCGGGGCGAGGAGAACCCGGAGAGGCCAGATGTTGATGGACGATTCATTGAGGACACGGTGGAATCACAGCTCGCAGCGTTGGGCTGGTTGCGCGCTGAGCACTTCGCCTGCATCGTCTTGTGTGAGCCTCACACCCCTGTGAAGTAGGTACTGTTATTTTATAAATAAGGGACATGAGGCTCAGAGAAGTGAAGTGACTTTCCAGACGTTGCAGAGCTAGTAGTGGCCAACATTCGAAGTCACACTCCAGAGCCCGTTTTTGTCATAAGAGCCATTGTGATCAAATAACCAAAGTGTGTCTGTTGAAGTTTAAATAATCATGAAGTCCCTCTGATGCTCAGGACTTTTGAGAAATAACCAAAAAAGTATGAATCAAGGCCCCTGCCTTCAAAGAGCTTACAAGTTTTGGGGGAAGATTGAGTCAGGGACAAATAAACCAACATTTATTGAGCACTTGCTGCAAGCCAGGATCCCGCCTGTCCCCCCCAAGTACTTCTTCTCCCCTTGGCTGCACACTTAATTCTCACAGCAACCCTCTAATTAAGCCTTATAGTTTCCGTTTTGCATATGGAGAACCTGAGATGGAGCAGGAGTAAGGATTGGAGGAGGATCACGTGCTTTCCAATAACAATTTGATATGTTAGTAGAAGACAGTATAGCATCCATGGCCAAGTACTGCTTATGAGTAATACAGCAATTACTTTTTACATTTGATAAATGCAGAGACGGGGAGGTCATTTCAGGTCACTGGGCCAGCCAGGACTTAGGAGTGCTTAAGCATTGTAAGGGTGGCAGTAGTGTTCAAGTAGATGGTCAGGAGAATCAAGTTAAGGATAGCATAGGAGACTCGTTCAGGTGTGAATTTCTCAAGGCCTGCACTGTGGAATGTAGTGGAAAGTGGTAAAATAAGATGATTCCCAGGAGACCTCAAAAGAAGGCTCATAGAGCAGCGTAGTGTGGTAGATTCACAATATGGACCTGGGAGCCAGATCTCCTGAGTTCCAGCTTTGATGCTTCTGCCTACTAGGTCTGTGCCCTTAGGCGAGTCATTTTACCTTTCTGAACCTCACTCTCCACTCTAATAATACCTATTTCATAAGGTTATTATGCTAATAAAATTAGTATTTATTTCAGTGTCTAGTATATAGTAAGCACTAAATGTATAACCATGGAAAAGCAGATTTTCCATGAAACCTAACATCACAGATTAACCCTGAAGTCCTTTCACTTGAATAGATCCTCCAAAGCCCTGAGAGGGGTCCTAACAGTGTGTTCATAGGATCATATTTTGTGTTATGTTGTAATTTTGTACTCCTTTTCTTGAAGATAGCCACCAAAATTATAGACACGTTAGGCCCTACAAACCCTGGATCTCTCCCTGATAAGGATTTTAGTGTTGTGAAAAAGAGTATAGAGTTTGGTATTAGAAGATCTGGTCCCGTAATTCCTGTCCGTTTTACTCTGGGCAATTAATTCACTGAACTTTTCTGGACTTCAGTTCCCTAATTGGGTAAATTGAAGATACTACCCTCAAGCCTGAGCTGTTGTGTTGATCAAATGAAATAGTATTTGCAAAAGTGTTGGTAAAACTAGGAAAGTGCTCTGCAAGTTTTTATGAATTAATGTTATTATAATTTGTCTATAAGTGCATAAGAGGGAAAAATCAAAAGCAATTCCAAGGCTCTTAGCTGGAAAAGTAGAAACAGGGCTGGTGGGTCTGCTGGTGAAAACAATGAAATACAGGTAAAATTCTTGCTCTTCTGCCAGGTTTTCTTCCTGATTTAAGCCATGAGATGTTGAAGAAATAAACTAGGAGGCACAGGATCAGAAATTAGAGCTGAGAGGAGGTTGGATATCATCTAGCATACCCCTCACTTTTTACCAAAATGGAAATAAGGCCAAGAAGAGCTAAAAGACTTTTCTGAGGCCACCCATCTGATGAATGGCATGATCAGATGAACCAGATCATGAAGCTCTAGGTTCTCCTTACTGTACCAAGTACTGGCTTTTAAGAGAAAAGCATTTTGTCATGGCGGTCCTTCAGAATCATTACATTAAAACCAGAGAAGCCATGGTGCTCTTGCGTGACTTTTAGCTTTATCACAAAATTCCCAGGATTCACATTTCTGTTTTAAAGGTTGCTAGATTGGATGATGCTATACACTTGTTTGCAAGCCTGTTAAGTGAGCAAAACTTGTGAAGATTTCAAGGGAAGAATTATAACTTCAGAAATTAGTGATTGAGAAACGTAAAATTTGAAAATTATAATATAACAATGTAGTTACTCTTTAAGCTGAGTAAGTTGCTCAATTGCTTTATTTGGAAAAGGAGAAAAATCAAATTACAATGTGTTTTCTCTGGAATTCACCTACTTCATTTACATTCCCTTCGTTATTCCATCATTTTTGTGATGTAGGAAATAGGTACCCATGTTACTAACAATAAACAAAACATGAAGGGATTCTTTTTTTTAATTCACACCTTGTACATATTTATGGGGTACAGTTTGATGTTTCCACATACATATGTTGTATACTGATGAAATCAAGGTAGCATATCCATCACCTCATACGTTTATTTCTTTGTGGTGAGAACATTCAAGTCTTCTAGCTAGTATGTAATATACAATACCTTACTGTTAGCTGGGTGCAGTGGCTCATGCCTGTAATCCTAGTACTTTGGGAGGCCGAGGCAGGAGGATCGCTTGAGGGCAGGAGTTCAAGACCAGCCTGAGCAAGAGTGAGACCCCGTCTCTACTAAAGATAGAAAAAATTAGCCAGCCAACTAAAAATAGAAACAAAAAATTAGCCGGGCGTGGTGGCAAGCGCCTGTAGTCCCAGCTACTTGGGAGGCTGAGGCAGGAGGATCACTTGAGCCCCAGGAGTTTGAGGGTGCTGTGAGCTATACTGACACCACAGCACTCTAGCCTGGGCAACAGAGCAAGACTCTGTCTCAAAAAAAAAAAAACCTTACTGTTCACCATTATCAACCCTACTGTGTAATAAAATACCAGAACTTACTCCTCCTATCTATTTGTCACTTTGTACCTGTTAACCAACCTGTTCCCATCCTCTCCACTCCTCTCCCTTCTCCAGTCTTTGGTAGCCACTGTTCTCTCTGCTGCTAGCATATAAACTCTTTTTTAAAAAAATTTGATTCCACGTAAGTGAGATCATATGGTATTTGTCTTTCTGTGATTGGTTTATTTCACTTAACATTATGTCCAGGTTCGTTCATGTTGTCACAAATGGCAGGATTTCATTTTTTATGGCTGAATAGTATTTCATTTTCTTTATCCATTCATTCATTGTTGGACATTTGGGTTGATTCCATATCTTGGCTATTGTAAATAGTGCTGCAGTAAACATGGGAGTGCAGATATCTCTTCAACATACTGATTGCATTTCCTTCAAATATATACCCAGCAGTGGGATTTCTAGCTCATAAAGTAGTTCTGTTTTTAATTTTTTGAGTAATCTCCATACTGTCTTCCATAGCAGCTCTACTAATTTACAATCCCACCAACAATGTTTAAGTGTTCCTTTTTCTCTATTTCCTTGCCAACACTTGTTTTCTTTTGTCTTTTTAATAATAGCCATTCTAACTGGAGTGAGGTGGTATCTCATTATGGTTTTGATTTGCATTTCCCTGATAATTAGTGATGTTGAGCATTTTTTCACGTACGTGTTGGCCATTTGTCGTCTTTTGAGAAATATCTAGTATGTCTTTTGCCCATTTTTTAATCAACATTGTCTTTTGTTGTTAAGTTCTTTATATATTCTGGATATTGATCTCTTGTTAGGTGTATAGTTTGCATATATTTTCTTCCATTCTGTAGGTTGTCTCTTCACTTTGTTAATTTGTTTCCTTTGTGGTCCAGAGCTTTTAAGTTTGGTATAATCCCATTTGTCTATTTTTGCTTTTATTATCTGTGCTTTTGAGGTCTTATTTTAAAAATATTTACCCAGCCCAGTGTCATAAAGCGTTTCCCCTGTTTTCTTCTGGTAATTTCATAGTTGCCAGTTTTACATTTAAGTCTTTAGTCCAGT